AGGACTTTGATCAGCCCTATTCCTCTAAGTGCTTTCCAAGTTCTAAGCCACAATTATGACAAATCACAGAGCTTGAAAGGAGGGGTGCCAGGGAAGAATCAGACTTTCTAGTTTCCTGGGAGTGAAATTCATGTTCATTTCACATGAGAAAGTAGAAATGAAAAAGATTAAGATGCCCAAATTTATATTTATCAGATGAGGGAATTAAACCGTTAAATAATAGTATTGAAAGGCCATGTGATGTCTGGTGGGGATGGAGAGCTGGAAGTGGAGCTCTTGCCTGGTGTGGATCTTAGTATGAATGCTGCAGACTAGAGTCCTGGGAGCAAGTCCAAAGTCTTGATGTTTGAGTTCAGAGACAAACTCCTGATCTCAACAGGGAAACAGTTAAAAAGTAAGACTCTCAAGAGCTCTCTTTAGATATGACTAAGTAGTGTTAATGTTACAAGGTAAAGAATCAGAGAGAATGACTGACATGTTGCTAGTCAAAAGGGCAATTCTGAACATATCTATTTAGCTGAAGTTATTCCCACAATCACTTGTACTTATCATGCACACAGTCTCTTTTAGGAGAGAAACATATGCTCTTAACACCGAGTTCCAATTCTTGGCTGGTTTTGAACTCCTTTTAAATTAAAGTATGATAAGGAATCTTCCTTAGGGCAAGGGCATTTAATCCAAATATACCTTTAGAGGCTTCTGTCCCCAGTGGGTTTTCTAAGAAGTCTGTCATGTCATGGTTCCAGGCATCACGGACTGCGGACTTGGACACCACCCTGTCATTCAGACCCTGCTGTGGTCGAAAATTGTTTCTCAGATACTCCACTGACTTGACATGGTCTTGCTGCTCCGTGGTGAAGATAGAATAAAACGCCTCGAGCTGGACAGGGAACAAGAGGGGAGAAAAAAAAAGAACATCAGTTAGAAAAGCTATGTGGTTTAAAGCGGGTAGGGGGGTGTGTCAAGAACACAAAATGGTAAGAAGTGCCAATGCCAAGTGTGACAAACCTGGTAGGACAAAGGCTGCCTGCCAGAATCACTGCCAAGGGGCTTATCTGAGGTTTCGGTCCTGCCAACCTCTGCCAACTAACCAGGAAAACACTTCACTTGAGGGTGTGAACAACTCTTTTTGTTTGAGTCTCAGGTAAGAGTCCAGTCTTTCTCAGTATCCCCCTCCGCCCACTTCCTGCTAGACTATTAGTATTATGGGAAGCAACACAGAGGTATAGTGAAACTGGTAGATTCTGGAGCCAGATTGCTCGGGTGGGAATTCTAGCTCCACGGTTCAACCACTCTGTGACCCTGAGAAAGTTGCTTAACTTCTCTGAGCCTCAAAATTTCCTCAGTAAAATGTGATAATTTCAACAGCATCTTTGTGTCAGCATTTAATGAGCTAATCCATGTGCAGTGCTTAAAACAGTTCCTGGCCCATAAGAGCGCAATAAATGTTAGTGATTTAGGGCATACGAAGCATCTTCTTACATACTAGGGATCCAGGTCAGCAGAGTTGCTAAATGCATAGCTTGCAAGTTAAACGGCCCAAGGTCAACATTTACCAGATGGGTAATCATAGTCAAACTATTCAAGCTTTATGTAACTCAAGTTTCCTCATCTGTAAAATAGATATATAAGTTGGTCCGAAGGCTGTGGGTTATTGTTAAGCTGTAAAATAGATATAAGACTAGTACCTATCTTATCAAGTTGCGGAAAAGTTTAAAATCAATGTATTAATAATACATCACTTAGCATCTTGCTAGGTAAGCCCTCAATAAAGATTAGCGGCTATAGTTTTATTATTAAAAAACATTTTCCACAAGACTGCTGACCAAAGTTTCATGGAAAAGCTAAGAAAAAAAATCAGAATGCCAGGGTCATATTTTTATTATCAAAAACTATTCCCTTTGGCCCCCAACATCCTGCTCATGAAGACAGGTCATTCTATTACATAAGACGAATGGAGTGGGGGCTGGGTGGCAGAGGTTTGTTCTCAATGGACCACAGAGTTATTCTTGTTACCAAAGAAATGGAGTGTAATCTAAAGTTCCCAGCCACCAAAAATACTAACTCCTTGCTGTGGAGAAAGAAAATGGAATGAAGGAGAGAGAATCTGAATGAACTCTTTCGGGCCCATCTGGCTGTTTGAACGCCCACTCAGAAGGCTCCTGCAGGAAAGAAGGACAAGGTGCAAAGGTGGTGGTGATGCTTCCCAGCAGGCACTGCGAGTCTGCCCTGGGCTTCAGGGCCAGAAGATGGCTAACACCAATGCAGAAAATAAACAAGACAATTACTACCTAGGTGTCTGGATGGTCATTTTGAAGCCTAGAACTAACCCCAGTGTTTTTCAAACAGCCTCAGAGAATGAGGCAGAAAATGACCTGCTTCTAGTCTGCAACTTCCTCTTTTTGCATTAGACAGCAATGAATACATAAATAAAATGCACAGTGATTAATTTGGCCAGAAAAATCATTTAAGTATATGGATTCACCTATCAATGCACCTCCCCTCCAATTCTCCTGCACATGTAAAGTGATAGTAAACCATGAAACCTTTCCTGCTTTTTCATCAATGTAGCAAAACTATTGTAGATGGTCTCTCTCAACCACCCTTTTGAAACCAGAAGTAGCCCGTTATTCCCGTGTTACACCAATTCTTTACTATTCACATAACGTTTCTTCTAACAACTCATTGTTGCTATTCAGAATGTGCCTTTTATCTCATTCTTCCTTCTGATGTTCCCTCTTTATAGTGAAGGGAGAAAGGCAATAAAAACTGAAAACATTGCTAAAATTGGATGGTTTACTGTCTAAATGTGACCCACTCAAGTGAAGGTAATTGGGGGTGCTGAAAAGAAAAATCACCTCGACCTAGCACAGTGTGCTCACTCGATAGGACTACCAAAATCCAAACTGAATGCATCAAAAAATGAGAGAAGATTTCAGGGTTTTTTTAGAGAGAGAAAATAACTTCTTAAAATTACATGAAAGGACCCACTGGAGACAGTCTAAGGAAAGACCAACCAAAATGATTAAAGGGATGGAGAATAAATCCTGTGTGGAAAGGTTACAGGAAGTGGAATTATTTAGCCTGAAGAAAAGGCGAGTAAGGAGTAATTTGATTAAAGGCTCTTACAAGTGGAAGATGCTGACCAGCTCTTCTCCATGTCCAGAGAAGGCCAAATGAGAGGACATTGGTTTAAATTAAAGCCTTAGAGACGTGAGTTGAATAGAGGGAGGAATACCTTAACTTTCGGAGTGATTTTTTTTTTTTTTAATGGACTGGGTTGCCATACATAGCAAGTTAGACTGGAGATTTTCTGGAAGAGATAACTATCTGATGTAGAAGAGTTGAATATCTGAGATGCCAGGAAAGGATGGCATGGGAGACTGTCTCAGCTATATGACTCAAGGGTTTGTTTATTCTCTAGAATACTTGCTTCTTTCACAAGATAGCATTTAGGTCTAAAAAGTTTATTTCTGATGCCTCTGGAAAGAATTAGTCATACAACTGTAAAAACAGGCAGCTTCTGAATTTAACGCAAAAATGCTTTTGCTTAAATTGCTCTTACAGCTTAATGACATGCTGGGGCTTAAAAGCTCGGCCGCTTCCTTGTCATTAACTCAACTTGCCAAAGATTTCGAAGGAAGGATCCGATAGTTCTGTAAGTGAACTAATGACCTGAACAATATTATATTGTCAACTGGATCATACCTTTGCTTGACAGTCACACAAAAGAGGAAAAGGAGGACAAGCTTAACAGACTCATCAACTGTCCTTCGGGAGGTTGGCAGCATTCACTAAAACCCTGTCATTCCTCTAAATAGAAGAAAATTGCCCGTGGCCTTTCCTGTTGGTAAGTGGCATGCTTGGCTACTGAGTGGAAACCTCCATGATCCCTGGATTGGCAAGGGGAGTCTACATGTTTCACTTTGGCAGGTAAGCAGTGATCACCTGGGCCAGAAATCTACTGAAACAGTAGATTCCCCCCTTATCAGCAGTTTTGCTTTTTGCAGTTTTAGTGACCTGTGGTCAAACGCAATCTGAAAATACGAAATAAAAATTCCAGAAATAAACAATTCATACGTTTTAAATTGTGCACCATTCTGAGTAGCAGGATGAAATCTTGGGCCCTCTTGCTCTGTCCTACCTGGGATGTCAATCATCCTTTTGGCCAGTGTCTCCATGCTCTATGGGTTTCCCACCTATTAGTCACTTAGTAGCAGTCTCAGTCATCAGAGCGACTGTCCCAGGACTGCAGTACTTGTGCTCAAGTCACCCTTATTTTACTTAACCATGGCCCAAGAGTAGTGGTGATGGCAGTTCGGATATGGCAAAGAAAAGCCATAAAGTGCTTCCTTTAAATGAAAAGGTACATACGTAAAGGAAAAAACATAGTATATTATAGGGTTTGGTGTTATCTGCGATTTCAGGCATCCACTGGGGGTCTTGGAACAGATTTCCCGCAGGTAAAGGGTGACGACTATACATCATTACACAGGTAATTCAGGTTGTCCCTTGATGCTTACCCATGCCTTGCAGCCACACTTGCTAAAGGTGAAACTGACCACCACCTGGGCCTCCACTCTTTTTATTCCAAAGGATGCCATTTATGGAGACCACAATAAGAAGGTGTCTCCTAAAGCTATGCAACATGGCAGCTCCACATAATGCTGGAGCCATAAAACAAACTACACAGCTGTACTTCTCTGAGCATCTGGCTAGCTTAATCTGTTCGGCTTTTCTAGATCTGGTTAGCAGCCACACAACACAGTGATCCTTCTAAAATGTACATAAGATCATGTCATGCCTCCATTCGATACCTTTCAACAATCTCCCATTCTCACTGTGGGGCCCTAATGGTCTGGCCTGTGCCTCAATCTCCAACTTCAAAACTCTTATTCTTGCTACCTAGGTTCAAAACCCTGTTTTTAATTCCTACTTCCTAATTACGTGACCGTGGTCAATGTATTCAATGTTTCTGAGCTTCAGTTTTCTTACTTGTTCAATGGAGATAACATCATTACCTATCTCAGGTGGTTTTGGTTACTATTAAATGAATTACTAAATATAATGTGTTTGGCATAGTTCCTGGTAGGCAGTAGATACTCAATAAGTATTATTAATTATTATTATTATTCTTATTATTTTTTTAATGAGGAATGTGGTCACCATGATTGTACTGTAAGCTTCCAACAACTATAAGATGCTCTATCTGCTTCTCCCTTCTCTTTCTCCTTATAATGTACATATGTCAAACTCATTATGTGACATGTACTTTGTTATGCACTTTACAAACATTGTTTTGGTTTCTAACTTTAATTTTAAATAACATTAAAGTAGCACTAATCATAACATGTCACTAACACTAGCAGCTAATATTTATTGAGTGTTTATTACATGCACGGCATTGTGCTGAGTGTTACATGCTTTCTCTTAATCCTCACAGAAATCCTGTAAGGTTGGTGGTATTAACATATCATTATGATGATTTTTTTTGACTGATGAGGAAACTGGGCTTAGTGACATTAAATAATTCCCCAAGATCACTCAGGAACCAAGAGGTGAAGTGAGGATTAGAAATCTAGGTCTGTGAGACTCTTTTTTCATGCTCTCAGTTGCTTCACGCCAAACGTTTATCAGGCCTGTGGCATTATTCACCGAAAGAGCGGCACTGTAGTGGAGAAACTGAATGTGGTGATAGCAGAAGTCACCAAACAATTCCTTTTAGCTAATCCCAAAAGACCATTCATGCAGGGCACCCATTATTGGCACCATAAATCTATTTGCACTTTCTGCACTGTGGAAAGAAACAGCCTGTGGACCAACAGAGAAAGAATTGGGAACCGGGAACAAGATGGCAGGCGCCAAGGAGAAAATGCTACC